GGGAACACATGGGTGCCTCCAGATGGTACTTTCTATAGTTCACTAAGGCTGGGCTTAGCAAATGCAGAAGGCATTGGAGCCTCCTTGATCCTTACTGAAGCCAGTGCCCTCTCCTCTCCTGGGCTTTCCCCCATGCCCTGTTACAGGTGAGCCTCACCTGATGCTGTGGGAGGCCAAGGCCCCAGTCCCCAGTGCCTGCAGAGGGTGCCTGCCCTAGTGCTGGTCAATGATTAACACTGAGCAAACTCAACCCAGGCCAGGCCTCCCAGCAGGGCTGGGACCAGACAAAGGCTCTTCTGTCTGTCTGAGCCACCATCTTGGTGGAGGGTTACTGACTGCTCTGTCAACTCAGAGTAACAAACATCCCCATCTCCAGCAGGGAGCTGGGGCAGCTGCTATCTAGCAAGGGTGGAAAGGGATTTGGAAGTGGGAAATGGAGGTGTGAATCTGTTATGCACTAGCTTTGTGTTTTTGAATTGTGTGGGAAGGAGGCTGGTAGGATGAGGGTCTGTAGAGGGACCTAAGTCAGGCCTCTTTTGTATTTGCCACAGGACTGGTGAGAGATGAGCACCTTCCTTCAAGATCAGCTCTCAGCAACTCCCTTCTGTCCCTCAAACACCTTGTTCCTACTTAACAAAATCTCCAAGTGTCTTCTTGTGCTAGCCCATAGTGGCCCTCTGCCTTTCCCCAACTCCCCAAACTTCTCTTTGTCTTTCCTTGTTTGTGATACTCTCACAGTCCTGGAAACCCTTTACTCCTCTCTTCATCCCCTTCCCCTTCCTCCCTCTTCCACATAGTTCCCCTTGAGCTCCCATTTCATCCTCCTGGTCCTCCTACCTGAAGCCCCTTTGACATATCTTGTCTCACTGTGCTCATCTCTTCCCACAGTCCTCCTGATTGGAGCATCCTCTGCCTTCATGCCTTGATGCCCATTCTTTAGCCTACCTGCCACAGGTACATTACCTAGACCAGCGCTGCCTGGCAAGTAGGGGGACTTCAGCTCCAAGGCAGAAAAAGGAAGAAGGGAAGGGAAGGGGGGCAGGAGAACTGGATTGGCTTGGCAGGATTCCTCTGTGCCTCTAGGTTTTCCTCTAGCACTAAAGATTGTGATTAGGAGGTACTAGGCAGGTTCCCCACTGAAGCTACTCACTGTGCTGAGAGCTGTTGGGGTTTATGCTGTCCATCAACAGAGCCACTTCGCTACCAGCAAACATCCCTGGTCACCTCCTAGAACTCTCCCAGCTAGGCAGGAGTACCTTCTGAGGACATTGGGGGGAGGGGGAGCCCTTGGGAGCTGGGGGCTGCTGGGGAGACCCACACAGAAAGTCTCAGAGCAAACTGCATCCCCACTGCCCTGGACCCGGGGTTCCCTTATCCTGTGAAGTTGTCTCCAAGTGGCCAGTTAGCCAGACCTTCCCCCTAGACCTCAGCTGAGACCAGGGACAAAGGGGTGGACAGCAAGGGGACAGGGACTCAGGGAAAAGCAAGAAGAGCAGGAGGTGAGACTGACAGGTAGGCTGGAGAGCATAGAGCAGGTGAGGCTGGGTGAAGGGCCCAGCTCTCCAGAGGCTCTGGTCCTTTCCCATGCTCAGGAAGTTTTCTGGACGGACAAGCTCAGGCTCCTAAATCTAATCCCAGCAGGAGGGCGCCACCTGCTGTGTAGAGGGAGCAGCACCACTTGGAGAACTTGGGGCTGAGTAATATTACTCAGGGATCAGTACCTGTTTGAGGCTATAGGACTGGGACTTTAGTGTGTGCCTGGTTGCCTTTCAGAGAGTCACAATGCTAGGCTATCAGGCTCCCCCTCCAACACCTTCTCCTCACCTTCCACAGTCTCACTCACTCAGGCCACCCCCTACGGGATCTGGAACTCAGTCCAAGTCTCTTATCTTCAGCTGGACTCACTGGGCTCTCTGCCCCCCACCAAGTGCCCTCTCCTTATGCTGCCCTGTGTCCACAGCCTCCCACAAGGCCTCCTGTGTCTGTGGGTTCTGCCTGCAGGCTCTGCTCCAGGGCTTTCAGGCTCATAGGAGAAAGTGCAGACTGAATGGCCATTTGGGTGCAAGGGCAGAGATTGGGGCTGGGGCTGGACCAGAGCTCTTTCCCAGCAGAGGGAAGGGCCCACTAGCCTGGCACTTAAATGAGTAGATCAGAGATGGGCAGTATGGGTTCCATTTGCACCCTCACCGTGGGTTTCGACTGGCACCACCAGGGCTGTACCTTCTGAAGGCCTCTCCTCTGTCTACGGTTTCTACTCTAGGTGGATAGCTGGGGCTCCATGCTCCCTTTCTGTACTCCACGTTCCCTTCAGGACTCACCTTCCCAGACATCCTTCTTGCTGCCCCACAGCCCTACAAGACTGATTCCTTCCTGCCTCACTAAATTCCCACATAATCTCCTTGCTTGCTTCTGGAAGAAATCCAAGCCCCACCTGGTTTACACACCTCTTCTGATCTTTCTGGCTTTACCTGCAGCACTTGCTCATGTGTATAGAACTCTGTGCTGGCCTGTGCTTGTTCCCCTACCCTCTCTGAGCAGGGTGCACTCCCCATGTGCATGAAGCCCCCAGGATCTCCTCCTCATCCTCCATGCTCCTTAGGTTTCACCGACTTCCATACTGGGAACCTCCACACTAAAGTGAGGACTTGGCCTCTGCCTCTAGAGCCTCAGCATCTGGTAAGCATGCAGGAATGAATGAATGAACAAATGAATGAATAAACCAGTGGCCAAATATGAGAGCCCAGAAAAGTGGCATGCTGATCAAACAAAAGATCAAGCAACCCAGCCCTGTATGCTCCTCCTCTGTCTTTGAGTCCTGTCCCTCACCCCACCACTCTCTTTCTTACCTGGCTCTAGATCCTTCAGGAGGCCTTCCTGGCCATCTTTCTAGGAGCCCCCTAGCGCCTACCTGGGCTCAGAACGCTTTCCCCGACACTACACACCTTTGTTGCCCCACAGACACAAATGAGCCCCCCCTCCAGCCCCTTAGGGTTCTCCATCTTACTAGTACAAAGGTCCCAGGTCTCTTTCTGCAGTTGGGAGCCACTTAGCGCTGGACAAGGAGTATGGGCTGTTCTACCTGGCTGCCTGGCTGGATGGCTGGCTGTCCTTAGAAAGCCCCATATTATGTTTGGACCTCACACAGCTTGCTGGTCTTGGGAGAGGGATATGAAACGCCATAGCCTTTCTGAGCAGATGGGCTACGTGGGGAGGTATGGCTTCTGAGGCCAGCTAGGTATGAAAGACCCCAACCTCCTGCCTTGCTCTTGCACAGGATTGAAAGGGAAGCTACCCTTTGCACATGACATGTTCAAGTAGCTCTACAGAGAAGTCCAACAGAGTGCAGAGTCCCAGAGGCCTCTTCCAGGTACACTCGGAGTCAGCCCTCAAATGTCCACAGTCCCCACCCACTGCCTCAGGGGATACTGAGCAGAGAGTCGTCCTGCAAAGCTGTTTACAAATTCCTCACGCTCAGGAAGAGTGTGAGAGAACACCTGTTTATTGTCTTTTTCAGCTGTGCAGTTTTAGAGTAACTCATTATGCCACAATAGGTAATTAACGCAGAACTGGGTGTTTTTATCACTGTAAACTCTGGTCATAAAGCAAAGCCCGTGATGAGTCTTAAAGAAAGATCTGAAGCCCTTGGAATTGAAAATGCAACGCTGCCCAGATGAACCTGTATAGACACGTGGGTGGTGGGGTTGCAAAGCAGAATCTACAGGTATGGAACACCAGTGCCTTCATTTTTCTCTCGTATTATTCTCATCTTTTTATTACTATTATTTATGTGGGAGGGGGTTGGATGTGCATGTGTGTGTGCATGTGTGTGACAACTTGAAGCATCTTCTTTAATCACTCTCTGCCTTATTTTTTGGGTTTGCTTGTTGTTTTTAGTTTGGTTTTTCTTTTTTTCTTTTTTTTTTTTTTTTTTTTTTTTTTTTGAGACAGGGTCTTCCTGTAACCCCAGCTGGCCTGGAACTTGCTATGTAGACCAGGCTGGCCTTGATCTCATAGAAATCAGCGTGCCTCTACCTCCCAAGTGCTGGGATTAAAGACGTGCATTATTACGCCCAGCTTCCCACATTGTTTTTCATGACAGAGTCTCTCACTTGGCCTAAAACTCACTGAGTAGGCTAGGCTGGCTGGCCAAGTGAACTCCAAAGATTTGCCCGTCTCTGCCTCCCCAGCTCTGGGATTACAAGGGTGCACCACCATGCCCGGCTTTTTTCCCCCTAGGTTCTGGGGATCAAACTCAGACCCTCATGCTTGCACAGCTAGCTCTACCTATTGAACTGCCTCCTGAGCCCTACTATTATCTTGATCTGATGAAGTCATATCTGTGGTTTGTAGGTAACAAATGAGTGAATGAATAAGCAAAAGCATAAGAAACCCAAAGAAATTTCTAATTTTCCCATTGCACATAGCTTTGAGTTTACATGTTTAATTTAGTGCCCTTAGAGTAAAATGCTGTTTCCCAGGGTTTGCTTATCATTCCGACTTCTAGTTCAGAGAACATCCTGGTGCAACCATGTATGGTCCCTATTCTTCTACACACATCATGGGACAGAGCAGCTCCAGCCTGGTCCCTGGGACTCCAGTGGGGGACAGCAGTACTGTGGAAGTTTGTGGTCTCTATATATGACCCAGATGTGGATCCTGCTTTTATGGCCTCAGTTCCTACCCACTCCTTAGGACTAGGACTGTGCTGACTCATCTTCCTCACTATGATAGGTACTATTCTGTGAAGCCACTTCCTAGACCCCAGTGTCCACCATTTCTAAACGACCTCCTGGGTGGCACTGCCTAGTATGGCACCACTCTTTATTACTGCTGTGCTCAGGGGATTCAACTGGACCTTCGAGTGGCTAGCACCAGAGAGTCCAACCCCTCCTACACCTCACCATGAGATTTTACCCACAAACTCAACTGGGGCTTTCCTACTTCATATCCCTCCGAGACTCCCTCTGGGGTGAGGGATGGAGCTGACGTTTGCTTCTCACCTTGTTTCTTCTTTGGTTCCTCTTTGGACAGCAGCAGCTTCTGATATCACATTCTGCTTTCTCTCTCCTAGATGAGAATGGACTTTGATAAAAGCCTTCCATTGCAGTAAGTCTCACCTTTAGCCTTCCTTTGGAAGGGCTTAAAAGGAGAACAAGAACCTTGGGGACATGAAGAGGCATCTGTTCATTTACAAATGGTATCTCATGACCCATGAGAGTGCTCAGCTCTCATTTGTCCACAATGACCCATGATCAAGCAGCTACCCAGACCTCAGGAGGGACCCTGTGATTTCTTACTATTATCTAAAGATACACCCTTTCCCCTTGGGGATCCACCTTCAAGATTCCTTTTTGGACCCTACCTCTCCCTGGCCTTGGGGATAAGGCATAGAGGAGAGAACTACACCTCTGCAAAGACCTTCCTCAAAACAAACCTGGAGATGCCCTCTGGCTAAGTGGACTGCCATAGCCAGAACTGCCTCCTGCCCTTGACAGTTGTCAGGGGGGCATCTGTGTTCTCTCTCCTTTGCTAGGCTCCATCAGCTGCTCCACCCTATTTCTCAAAGATGCCTCCAGTTCTGCTCAGGCCCACTGACTCATCTTCAGAGCCACCTGGTCCTCTTCCTGACAACTCTGTGTCCCTGTGCTGGATCATTCCAATAAAGGCTTCCTATTCTTCCCTCTCCTAGTACTGCCTTGGAGCAGGCACACTGTGGCTCCTTCCCACCTGCTTCTCTCCTCTCCACCTGCTGTCAGCCCTTTCTTGGTAGCCAGTGTCTAGTGTTAGCTAGACAGAGGCCCTCATGGGTTCCAGCTTCTTCATAAACTGTCGGTGCCCACAAGGTACCACTTCCTGGTCCTCAAGATCTCCTGCCTCCTACAGACCAGGTGCCTCATGTCGTTAGGCACTTGGGTCCAACTCTGAGCTCTTCAAGCTGGGCTCCCTCTCTCTTTGAACCTGTCACATGCACTAATAGAGGGCTGTGACCCTCTGGAGTACTGTCAGCATCTCATCTTTCATGATCTCTGAGTCACTTCCCGAGGGAAAAGGTCCTGAGTCAGTTAATCACTCCATCTTCTCCATGTTACCATGGAGCCTTGTGTGATTTCTCCCCCAGCACCACTGCTATGCCTGACTGCTATATCCTAGCTGTAGGCCCATCACTTCTTGTCCTGACTGTCATAGTTGTCCTCTGACTGCCTCACTGCCTCTTTCTAGTGTCTACTGTGGCCATACCAGACCAAATGGTCATTTGAAAATGCAGGGCAAGGGCTGGGGCTGTAGCTCAGTTGGTAGAGTACTTGCCTAGCATGCATGAAGCTAGGTTTTGAGCCCCAGCACCAAATAAACTGGGAGTGGTGGCACACTCCTCTAATCCCAGCACTAGGGAAGTGGACATAGGAGAATCAGTTCAAAGTCATCCTCAGCTACATAGCAAGTTCAAGGCCAGCCCGGACTATACAAGACCTTGCCAATAAATAAATAAATAAATAAATAAATAAATAAATAAATAAATAAATAAATAGATAAATAAGCAAACTAGGAAACGAAGGTATACATGTATCTCTACTCAAAACTCTCTGGTGAGGCTAAAGAGATGACTCAGTAGTTAAGAGCACTTGCTGTTCTTCCAGAGGACACAGGTTCGCTTCCAAGCACTCACATTGGGTAACTGACAACTACCTGTAACTCCTGCTTCCAGGGATCTAATGACATTTTCTGACCACACACACACACACACACACACACACACACACACACCTTTAAAAAAAACTCTCAGCTAAAAGACCACTCCTGTCCACCTTTCCCACTCTACACCAGCCACGATAGCCTTCTTGTTGCTGATTACTACTACTGACCCCTTTCTGCCTCTGGACCTTTACATATTCTCCACATATTCTGTCTCATCTCCTCCACCAGCTTCAAGGCTTTACTGCAGTCTCCCTTCCTTTCCTGCCCTGGGCACATGGTAACTGGGCTGTACCTCCTGATCCCCTGTTATATTTTGAATGTGAAATGTCACCTGTAGGCTCACGTTTGAACATTTGGTCCCCAGCTGGTGGCACTGTTTTGGGAGGTTGTAGAACCCTTTATAAGTGGGGCTTTGTAGAAAATCAAGGCCCTGAGGGTCTGTTTATGTTTAGACAACATGGTGCTGATATAGATTTCCGGCATGAGCCAAGATGGCTAACGCCAGACATCCGGAGAGCTGTGAGTCAGCCCAAGATGGCTCACCCTGGATGTCCGGGGACCCCAAAAGTAAACAGTGATGTAATCTGTTATGTAACCAGTTTTGGCAAGAAGCCACCTTTGTGTGATTTCCTATAAAAAGTCCTTGGCACCAAAGTCATGTGCTCTTGTGCAGTGTCTTTCTGCCCAGAGGCCTGTGTGCCCTCGCCCAGAGAAAATAAAGCATGTCTCATTTGCCAGCGGCTTCATGAGTCTTCCTTAATCTCCTGGCTCCTTGAGACCCTCTGTTCCTGCCCCTGAACAGGGCCTCCACAGGCCTGCCTGGCAGGCGTGTGTCCCTGGAGAAAAGACTTGAGAGCAACAGTTGTCTCTGGTTCTGGCTCCAGCTCTCTGCTTCCTATATGGGAGAAGTCACTGCCAGATCCCACCTCTGAGGGTCACCCACTTGCTGCCATGCCCTCTCTGCCATGATGGACAGTTCCCCTTGAACTGTGAGCCGAAGTAACCCTGTCCTCTCTTAAGTTGCCTCTGTCACAGAAATTAGAAAAGGCACTACCACACACCCATGTGCACACCTTGTTCCGTTCACTTTCTGTAGAACTCATTCCTTTCCAAACATACTATTTAATTCAATTTTTATTTTATTTTAGTTATCTATTTATTTGAGTCAAGATCTCACATTCTCATCCAGGCTGACCTGGAACTCACTCTGTAGCCCAGCATGGCCTCAAAACTGATAAAATCCTTCTGTCTTTGCCTCCAAAATGCTGGGATTATACCTGGTGTTTTGTTTGTTTTGAAATAAGATCTCACTATGTAGCTCTGGATGGCCTGGAATTTGAACTGGCTTTGAATGGTCAGCAGTCCTCCTGTCTCTGCCTACTGAGTGCTAAGATTATAGGCATGGGTCATCATTGCTGACCTGTTTTTGTTTTTTATAGTCTATCTCCCCTGTAGACATTCCAGCTTCACTAGGGCAGTTTCTTACTTTGTTCACTAAGGGATCCCACAGCCTAGAAGAGTGTTAATACCCACTACACGCTGGGTGATGAATGAACCCCTTAGTCCCCCCGGGGCAGCTTTAGTAGCCAGCAAGATTTGGGATGGAATTCCAGCCATCTCTGGATCCTCGGGGCTTAGCCTACCGTCCTGGCCATTGTGGATATGCAAAAAAACATTTGTTGAGGCCCAGAGAGATGGCTCGGTGGTTAAGAGCACTTGCTACTCTTCCAAAGGACCTGAGTTCCAGTCCCAGCACCCACATCTGGTGGGTCACAATTGCCTATACCTCTAGTTCCAGGAGAATGCAATGATGCTGGCCTTCGTGGGCATCTGCACTCGCGCACGCACACACACACACAGAGTTAAAGAATAAATCTTTTTAAAAAAATTAGTTGAATGAATGAATGGGGCCCTTTACTGGCTGAGGAAGAGGTTTGGGGACCTAGGCAGATCAGCTCAGATCTGTACAAACAATACCACGCATTGTCCAATCAGTCAGTTTCCTGCCTGCATGGGGTCTGCTTTCTCTAGAATCCTGCCTCCTCCCATCCCATCCCCCTTGCTTCCAGTCACCACTAGCTGCTATTTGAAAGAGTATTCATTTAATCATCATTCAGGTGAGGCTGCTGAACAAATCCTACCCAACACTCGACACTTTCCAAGAATAAGCAAGAGCTATGAACAGGGTCACTCCCTGACTCCAAAAGTTTGAGGCATGACTATGATGGTGCCATGTGCTGTGAGGCTGCAAACATGTTTGGGGACTATCTATGAATACCCAGTCAACCCTGGGCTGCATGCCCTGTGGGTGCAACCTTGGCTTTCCTGAAGGTCCTCCTGAGGAAAGATGGGGTACAGGGGCTCCAGCTCTGAGTTGAGGAGCAGAAACTTGATTGCACAAAGTAGAGTGAGCAGCCACAAGCAGCTGGGCCTCACCCTGTCCCTGGCTTCCTGTTCTGCTGGCTCCATTCAGGCTCTCAGGGACACCAGGAAGTGGGGAGTCCGGGAGAAGGGGCTTTGCTTCCCAGGCTCAGGCTGGACCCCGACTCGGGCTTTGGGGTTTTAGGCAGTTTCTATAACCACAGTCACATGTCCCTTCGTGTAACCTGAGTTCCCTAACACAGCAAGAGTCTGCACCCCAGCTCCACATCTGCTTCTCATTTCCGCCCCAGGAAAACGGCCCAATTTCCATGAGCGCCTGGCCTGAGCCAAGCCTCAAGCCTTCCCTCGGCCAGCCCCACCCAGCCCAGCTCCAGTGCAAACTGCGTGGGGGTGGAGTGGAGAACAGAGAGCAGTGTCGGCACAGTGTGTGCAGTGGAGCAGTGCTGGGGCCAGGAAGCCTGACTTCCTAGCTTGGTTCTGTCAGTTCCTCACTGTGTATTCTTGAGACAGTCCCTTAACTTCTCTGGGGCTCAGCTTTCTCATCGGCAAAATGTGTTACTCTACAGATGGAGTGGACATTAGGGTTTGGGAACCAAGGTAGCTCCTTGGGGATAAGAATAGTTTTCCTCAAAATAGAACCAAAAAGGTTGGCCATTGGAGTTGGCCTATGCTGGGAAATGGTGGGGGCCAGAGCCGCTGTCCTACCTGAGCAATGGCCCAGGCTCACCTTTGGTAGTTTGGTAGAGTTATGCGGGAGTCTTCACGCTGAGGGAGCCAAGCTCATTTTGAAGTCCTTCATCTGCTAGGAGTTATTAAGCACCCAAGATGTCAGTGTTGGTCCCTGCGCAAGAGTCAGAAGCCTACAGTGATTTGCAACTTAACATTCCTTGGTGGAGGAGAGAGGCCCAGGTTAAAATAAATCCAATCCACCCAGCAGATTGGAGGTCTGTGTGAACAGGGTCAAGCCAACAGACTTGACTTCCATTCTATAAGAGAACTGTGATTTTTAAGACAGTCTCACCTTGAGTTTGTTGTTCTGTTTTTCTGTTTTGCTTTGTTGTTTCAAGATGGAGAAACAACACCTACATGTCCCAGGCTGACCTTGAACTCCTGATCCTCCTGCCTCCCCTTCCTGAGTACTAGACTTACAGGTACCACCACACCTGGTTTATGTAGTGCTGGCAGTTGAACCCAGGGACTTCATGTACATTAGGCAACTACTCTACCAACTGAGCCAGATCCCCAGCCCCTTGATACTGTTTCTGTCTACAACAAACTCCATCCCTTTTCTGACAAAGACCTTAACTACCTAAGACCTTCTTCATCCTCCATATTTTGGTGCCCAAACCAGCTCCCCACTGAGGGGAACTCAGCAGTGACCCACATACAGAAGAGATCCACACCTTGCATGCCATCCTGACACCCTTGGGGCCTCCTCAACCCTGCACCAGCCATGCCCGCCAGGTCCTGTGAGCTCAGAGAGCTAAGTGGCTGGTGGGAGAAGGGGTAGCAGCAGGAGAGGCTGCCCTAGCTCTGCCCCACTCCCACCAGAAGATGGCTCATTGGCTGCTCTTGCAGGGAACCCCGGGTTAGAATCCCAGCACCCACATGGTGGCTAACAACCATTCATAACTTCAGTTCAAGGGGAATCTAATGTTCTCTTCTGACCTCCGTGGGCATTGCACAACACGGGTGCACTTACACACATGCAGGCAATATGCTTATACACACAAAAAAATAATAATAATAAAAATATTTTAAAGAATATGACCCTCTGTGTGTGAGGGAGCTGCGGCGAAATAAGCCAAGGAAGATCCTTGCAGTGGAAGTGATTGATTAATGGTCTTTATTATTACTGTCAAGTGCTGCACTTTCTCGCCTAACCCTTCATTGGCTGGGGCAGGGATGAGGGTTGACACAAAGACCCCACCACCACCACCACCTAAGAAAAGACATGAGGACACATGTCTTAAAAGAGGATTGACACCATCATTGTCTGTCTCCAGAAGACCAGAGGGGCTGGGAACTGATGAATGGGCTGGTTTTTGCTCTAAGCCTGGCTCAGAAGTTGAATCTTCTGTTCTGAACCCTTCAAAGGTTGGAGACATTGGTGGCAAGGTGGTTTCATGTACTGCTGACTTGCACAAGGCCCTATGGTCAGAGTGCCTCATGCTGGGAGTCACATTCTGATGTCACAATTTTGAGATCCTTCCTATTTTTTTTTTACACAAGAGGCCCTACATTTTCATTTTGCATTGGGTACCACAAATTACATGGCCAATGGTGATGATGGGAAGGTCAAACTGGCTGGTTGTGTCCCTAGAAGAGCTGGTGTCCATCTTCCTTCCACACACTTCCTATACAATAATGCATACTCATCATCTCTTGGTCCCCTCACTGGTCCTCCGCACAGCAGGGTATCAGGAGAACTGGGGTCATACAGGGTCCTCAGCCACCAGGAGGCACAAGTAGGAGCTGGAGGCCTTCTTGGCCTGGAAAACCCCTTGGGGACAACTGCTCACAGGGTTTGCTGGCCAGGCCACCAAATTCCCATCCTCTGACAGTCCTCTCCAGCTGCCTCCACCCGGTCCTGCAGCTCAAGTGCAAAACCACAGTTGGGCACCAGCCAAGGGGGCTTGGGTTTCAGTATGCTGGACTTCCCACGCTGTGGCTAGAGGCCAGGGTCCAGAGGAGTTGCTGGCTAGAGGCCTAGGCTGGAAGACAGAAGAGAGGGTGGGCTCGAGTCCTAGCTAATCTTCCCATTATTTCTCAAATTGCCTTCTCTCAAGCCTCAGTTTCCTTTCTGTGTAATGGGACAGAATTCTGTAGGTCTGGACTGGTACCAAGGTATAGAGAAGGTGGACCTCAGAGGCCAGGGCTTGGAAGGGGACACCAACACTCAGTGTCTAATATAGAAGCCATATGTAGCTATGGAGATACACTCATAAATGAAAATGGACAGTTTTGTTCCTGGGTCACTATAGTCATTTTGAAGCTCAGTAACCAGCTGCATTTGGCTCATGGCTACCATGTCAGAGAGTGCAGATAAGAAAAGCTCCATCTCCATGGAAAATGTTCTATTGAGCTGTGGCTCCTGGCTGAGGCTGTGAAGGTGTTAGGGACATTGGAAGCTTTATTGCCCTTGGGTGTTGAGTGGTGGTCTGGAGGAGAGACATTCAGGAAAATTCAGCCTTTCTTAAGAGTGAGGAGTGGACCTCTTGTGAGGGGATCGGGCCTGCCTTCCACTGCAGGTGTGCATCCCTGACTCTTGGCATAGGCAGTAGGCTTCCTAGTCCCTGTCAGTGACTAGAAGTATCAAAGTAGGTGCCCTTTCCAGCAAGGGGTTTCACGGGAGCCATTTGCAAATGGGGAATCTTATCACTCCCTTTCACATTGCCTCTGAAGAGTCGGAGGTAATTTCCCACTAGGCTCTTGCAGGCCCCAGAGCAAAGGTTCTCAAACTTAGCTTCTGTCAAGTCAAACTACAGACATTTTGTTGAGGTCTGCTTGTGGTTCCTTATTGTCCAGCCAGTTTGTGTCAGATCATTGGAAGACCTTGGTTTGGTTTGATCTGGGTACATTTAAATATTTTTATTTATTTTTATTTTATGTGTATGAATGTATTGCCTGCAAGTATGTGAGTGCACCCATGTAGTGCAATGCCATGGAGGTCAGAAGAGGGCATTGGATTCCCCTGGAACTGGAGTTAAGGATGGTTCGTAGCTGCCATGTGGGTGCTGGGAATTGAACCCTGGTCCTTCGCAAGAGTAGTCAGTGCTCTTAACTGCTGAGCCATCTCTTCAGCCCCTGATCTGGGTACATTTAAAAGGGACACAGCAGAGAGAGTAAGATGATGGGCAGCAGGGAAGAGAGAGAGAGAAGAAAGTTGGGGAGGTGTAAAGGAGACTGGGGAGGGAGAGAGAGAGCCCTCTGAGTTATTCTTGTTGTACAGCATCTCACCCACTCCTCACTACTATGGCCTAAGTTGGTAAACTGTGGCTCAGAGAGGTTCCACAGCAGCCCACATGGTCCCTGGGGAATCCAGCTGGACTCTGTTTCCTTTTCCTTCCCTCCCTCTAGCCTTGAATATTTTCAAATGAAATAAGCCTGGGAAGCGGAGAAGGCTCAGAGCTGTGAATACATTTTTTTGTTTTCTGGGGCTCACTGGGCTGTGACAGGAAGCTTGGCTGTGTGCGGTCGTCTGAGGCCTGACTTTCAATGGTGCTTTTTAGGCACGTCTTTCCACAGAATGTAAAGCATCATAGTTATAAATATCAGCAGGGCTCCATGGCCCATTCAGACCCCACCCCACACCCAGCAACAACACGTGCGACTTCCCACCTCCCATCCTCCCCACTACTCTTCCATCTACATCTGGGAAGAGCTGGATAAGGGTGGGTCTTGGGCTAAGAAACCAAAGATAAGTGGAATCCAGAAGTTGCCCCCTCCTGTCTGTAGGAGATGGGCTGTGTACAGCATTGGGGAAACCACAACCATAAAGCCAGTTGTGAATATTCTAGAATGACTCTCTTTTCACAGGTAAAGAAAGAGAGCACCCCCCCACACACACACACATACTTCCTTGTGAATTCCTACCACTCTCCTTTCACAAGTGCCCTCTGAGACATGCATGGTCCCATTTCACAGATGGCCAGAGATGAAGTAATTACAGTTACTGTAAAGCCACCTGTGAGTGCCTCTCGTGGCAGCCTCAACCAGTCTGCCGCTCAGGCAGCCCTGCCCACCCCCTCCCTCCTTCCTGTCTTCTTTCTAGGACCAGGAGCCCAGTTGATTTAGCATTTCCTGCTCTTCTGACAATCTTTGTGCACAAAATGGGCCTTATTCAAACTGCTTCACAGCCATCTCCCTCTAGCCTTCTTTACCTTCATTAAGAGTCTAATCTGAAGCAGGATAAATCTTCGGCATTTAACTAACTGATCAGAAACATGTTCCCAGTTCCTGTCCCTGCCCTGCTGGGAAGCACATCTCTCGAAGGGTTAATTAACAGTCTTCACACAAGTCACATTTAGCCCTGAACACAAAGCCACACACATAAATAACGTCTAGGGCGGAAAGAGAGGTGCAGATGGTTTGTGACTTTGCTGTCCAGTTTTCTAAATCGGCATGAACCACGTCCTGTCAGGGTCCAGGACCATGAGTCAGGGTCAGGCTTCTAGATGCACCAGGCCAGAGACACTGGTGGCCAATTTCACTCTGTTGAAAATTTGACAACAGATCTCAGAGCCAAGAAGTGAGGAAGAGGGAGGGGCAGGTGGGGAATGAGGGTGCTGCCCCACTGGGGGCAAACTAAATGAACGAACCAAAGATAGGCACCAGGGCTCAGTTTCCTGTGAGGTATTGCTGAATGTATCCTTGGGGACTCCACCAGCATTCAGACATGGGCCCAAGGTCCTATTCTAGCCTGTCAGAACATGAGGTGAAGACACCTAGGGGAACTGCATAGAGCTGGGGCAAGGGTGGAGAAGACAGTGGAAGAAGTATGGAATGTCCTAGAAAGGGCATCAAATACTTGAAGTCTTCCAGTTCCTATATGGGTAAGGTCTGCTCCCCTATGTGGTCTCAGCCCCACGTGGGGCTTGAACACCTTCCTCCTACAGTCATGAGAACACAGTTAAGCATTATCCTGGATGACAAAGGGAACAGAGAACGCACGTTACAGAAGTCAGCACTGTCAGAAGATCTCTGAAGCCAAAGAAGAGGAAAACAGGAGTTCAGAAACGGACAGGGCAATGCAAACACCTACCGGACATCAAGGAACAGAGAGAAAGAAGCAATGGGAAAGCAAGCCGTCAGCAGTCAGCCTTCACACTCACCTATGTGGCTCTTCCACATTTGGTCTTGAACCCTTAGAAGTCCCCCAATTTGGAGAGTTCCCTATCCTCACTCAGACCTTCTCCTAGGATCCAGAAGCTGGGGTCTATGAGGGGCAGGAGCTACAGAGAACATTCTATCCTGCAAGAGGGTGCCCTCTGGTGGCAGGGTGTGGCAGCCTCTGCATAACCTGGGCTCCCAGATTATGAACCAGGCTAGTCATTCAGGCCAACAAGGGCTGTCCCCTCATGCTAGATTCAGTGTCCCGGGAGTGAAGAAGCAAAGAAAGATGGGGGCTGAAGGCCTAGCAGAGGGCTCTGTATCCAGTGGAGCAGTTTTTCCTTGAGTGATTTTCCACAGTTTGGCTTTCCCTCCACACGCTGGCTCGCTCAGGGTTCAGACCGTGGCTGTGGTCCCCCACAGGGTTACCCTGGGCCAGTCACCTGGGTGGTGACCCCCTTCTGCTTGATTTCTGATCCCCCCCATCACTCAGCTCCCTCCAGCTTGCTTTCTCAAAGCACTGGACCCACCCTCAGGTGGGGCTGCATTTGTTCAGTCCCTCTGGACCCCAGACCTCATCCCACCCCCACAGGGCTTAGGATACCCCAAATGTACCATGGTTGCCAGGTTGGGGCCAACCTTTCTGTTTTCTCAGAAGGATCAAAGTTCCATTCCAGTTCAGCTGGGAGGAAGCAGTTTTGACTCGTGCAAATATCTGCAGTCCATTTGGGATTTCACTTTGGTGAGAAATAAATACACAGCCATCTGCGGATGATGGAAATATGACTTAAGTAACTTTTTGGTCGAGGTTCTTGGGCTGGAGCCCAGATGGAAATAGGACCTTGTATCTCAGTCTCCCTTGCACGCTTTCGGAAAAAGAAAAAGCTGAGAGTGGGGGAGTTGATGGAAACAGAAGTTCAAAATGGACTGTGCTATATTTCTTGGCCCTGAAAAGGAAAAACAAACACCAAACAGCGTCTCCATTCAAGTGTGTGTTATCTGGCTCATCCTGGCCAAGAACCCACTTCTCCGCCCTTTTCTGACCGGGAATTACTGCGCCTACGAATAGCCCCCACGCCCACCCTAGCCAGGGCAGGAAAACAATAGGCAAAACCCCACTCCTCCAAGGCCTCTCCCTGCAGCCCCCCAGAGGCCATAAGATTGGGAAACACAGGCTATTTTTAATGTGTTATTTGTCTACCAACTGCTGCTCCATGGCCTGAGAAACAGTGTCATCTGTGGGAGGTGGCATGGATTTTTTTAAACTTGCTCAGACAAAGCCACAGTTTCGCAACTTTCAAGAAACATCAAAAAAGCTATCCTGCCCAAGGGTGACCCCTTCCCTGGCTTGCCCTTCTGCCCTACAGGGGATTCTCCCTGGGTGTGTCTGGGAAGCAGCCCCCTGCTGCAATGTGCTGGTCAGCAGTGACCACAGGCCTCAAATCTGGGGCTTGGGAGAGGACAGGCCATGAAACAGAAGGGGAAGGAGTGGGGAATCCAGCTGGTGAGGGCGGTTCAACCCCTGTCCTGTGGCCCCAGTGTGACAAAGCATTCGGGTCCATTGAGGTCCCCCCTAATAGAAAATTAGGAGGAAGTGGCTTTGTAGAAGCCATCCATGTCCCCAAATCCATGGAGTGGTATATCTTGGGGCTGAGAGGGGGATATGTGGATGCTGGCAGAACCCAGTGCTGGAAGAATCCAGATATTCCAACAAGAGCCTTTCTGCTTCTGGGGTTTCCAAGGGCTTCAGCTATAGGGTACTACCTACCAAGGCTCCAGGGGCCTCCCCAACTCTGAGTGGCTAGAGAAAGAGATAAAGAGGGATGGTGTATGCACATGGTGTGCATAAACTCACACACCAATGCACACATATACATAAAAATAAATAAACCTTTAAAAAAAAGAAAGAGGGATGAAGGAGAAAGGAGAATAAGTAGAGGAGGAAAGACAATAAGCCCAGAAGCATAATGTGAGGAGGGGGAGGTAGACGGAGACGGGGCAAGAGATGGAGACATCAGGTAAGGCTGAGGGAGTTTTCCTGTACCAGTCCTGGCCCTCTTGAGACAACAGGGCAGAGAGAGGATGCTAGCTCAAGAAGGCTGGCACAGAGGGACACCAGAGTGGGAATGTCCTTTCTCCATTGCCACTATGACCCACAAGTTAGAGCTGAGAACATGCAGGACCTCCATCCACTAGCTGCCTTGGGTGACTCTTGAAAAGCTGCTTCCCTTCTCTTCCATACACCTGAGACCTGTGTGCTGCATGTGTGTATGTATGCAATGTTTGTAAGCATGTGTGTGTGTGTGTGTGTGTGTGTGTGTACTCAATGTCTGGCGCTTCATAAATAGCAGCTTTGACGTGTAGAACATGTAGTCGATAAGTCCATGCCGTTCCTTCTGGACAGGAAGTAGAGAAATCAGATGGTGTGGCTCTGTTGGCTGAAATTTATACCAGGTCATACTGGAAGGGTCTGTAAGAAAACAGTGAGTGGTGCTACCTTGTGGGAGCAGGAGTGAAAGAGAATAGGGTGAGGCTAAAGTTTTGATGCCATACCTGTTCATACAATTCAGAATCATCATCCGTCTGAGGGTATTACTTATCTCGTGCTCAAACTCTAAATTTTCATTAAAAATGTGCGCTATTTCTTGTGTGCATCAGCTTCTTCCCTAAGTGAGGAGATGGTGTAGGTCCCAGATACCTAAGTAGTGCTTGATAGAAACTCAGAGAAGTGAACAGGCAAGTGTCCAGAAAAACAGAAAGAAGCTGGGAAGAAAAACAAGGGTAGGGATGAAGAAGATGGAGATGAAGAAGAGCTAAGGTGGAGGAGAAGTGGGGCAGCTGTTTCCTGAAAGGGGCACGATGGTGGGAGACTCACTGAGCCATTGTCCCAGGTGCTGAGCATTGGTCAGGGCACACATGCCAACTGGATGCTTTCCCTGGCCTCTTTCCCCAAACATCCTGGTCCAGCCTGCCAAGCATTCCAGGGGAGGTGCCTACAGGTGGGTGGGGACACAATCAACTACCTGTGACACCTGGCTGGAGCTGTTAGGAATAGAAAGCAGCCCTGGGAATGTAGGGTTGTGGGTTGGAGACTTGGAGAAGACAAAAGAGTAATTCGATCCAGCAAAGGGGTAACCAGACCACAGAGTGTAACGACTGACCTGGTCCCAGGGTTAGGGAAAGAAGGTGGAGGACTTCTCTCGTTTATCTCTCTAACAAGTCTAAGATATAGATTTTTATTACCATTCGGATGAGGAAACTGAGGTTAGGGGAATTGGACAGTCACCTAGTAACTAACTGGGAACCTCAGACCCAGGTAGTATGGCCCCATTTTACCTGTTTCCCCATTTTACCTGTTTCCCTGCCTCAGGCCTGGCCACCTCTAGGTACACCCTGTTCCCAGCAGCTAACTGGAAATGACCATGGCTCAGCTCACCCCTCCAGACTGCTGGACCATGTACTAGTCCCGCCTCCAGCTTTCCACACTAATTAGATGCCCAGAGGCTGTGGGCAGACTGAGAGGGCCGGGCTTGGGAATCCCCCTGGACTCCTTGCCCCACAAACTTCAGGGGCACACAGCTGGAAGAATGAAAGTGCTTTTCATGGAATTCCAACAGGAAACCCACGAGAACATTCCTGCCCAGATGAGTCCAACAGGAAAACCACGGGAACATTCTTGCTGGTGGGTTCCAGCTGGGAGCTGGAGGCCATGTTCCTGGTGAAGGAGGCTGGTCAATGGTAGAGGGATTGGAGGAGAGGGTTTGCCCCACCTCTAAGGGTGATCCAAAGGTTCTCTGACCTCTGACCTCCATGGAGTTCAGCCTGGCAGGGGGTTTGTTGGGGAGCTGGCATGCCTACTTCCCACTCTTGCTGTTTTTGCTTACAGCTGGCTGTCCTGCCTTTCAGGGCAATGCACGTTCCTTTTGAATACTTTTCTTCTAGTGACAGCTGTGCCCCCTTGCCCTGCCCTGGGTCTTGCTAATTAGACAGTATGAGGACATGAAAGTGTGTGAAAAACCACTCTTGAGGGCTGTGGAGATGCCTCATGAGTAAAGTGCTTACTGCACTAACATGAAGATCTGAGGGATCTCTAGCACCCATGTAAAAAGGTGAGTGCAGTGACATACGCCTGTAATCCCTGTGCTCGGGAAGTGGAGACAAGAAGATGCCTGCGGCTTGCTAGCCGGCCAGTGTAGCCAAACTGGTGAGCTCCAGGTCCAATGAGAGATCCTGCTCAAAAACCAGGTGTAGAGCAAATGAGGGAGACACCCAAACACCTGACTGATGTGTCTCTCTCTCTCTCTCTCTCTCTCTCTCTCTCTCTCTCTCTCTCTCACACACACACACACACACACACACACAAAGAACTTGCTCTTGAATTTAGTTGCTTTTTGAAACAAATGTCTATGGCAGACATACCTGAAGAAATACTGCACACACCTGACCCCCATGACCCCTCCATGGCATCTCCACTGTCTGGCTAAAGTGCAAGCATGACCCTGGTTTCAAGAAATGTCCCTCAGAGGAAGGGCCCAGGGGCCTCCACCAGGAAGCATTGTAACAGTGCAGGAAGAGAAATGCCCTCTAGCCACAGGTGTCATCAGAGCCACTTACATTCATGTGGCACCTGTCAGTGTCTAGTCACAACCAGGGTAGGCAAGGATATATGGACAGGACTCCTGTCCAGCACAGGCTTCCTGGAGCAGGCAATGCTGGAGAATGTGGAGGGCTTAGTCTGGGAGCTCTGCGGGCCTTTGGGGAGTTAGAGTTTGGATCATGGATCGTGATAAGCCCTTGATAAAGGCAGGGAGGGGCACCATACAGATGTGGGCACAAGGGAGTAAATACAGGCACCAGAAGGACAATGTTCTGATGGGAAGGCTGGGAAGGACAGATGTTGGAAAGAGCTGGAGGGCTGTGGATGAAGCTGGCATGCATATTTACACTCTGAGGAGAGGAAGCAAATCAAGGCAGAGGAGAGAGAGAGAGTTCACCAAGAATACAGGGAAGGGACAGTCAGAACCCATAGTGAGCTCTCAGGACTTTTTCTTCTATAACCTTCCAGAATCCCACACCCAG